TCCTGCTGTCTTCCTGCTGTCTTAGGGAGTACAGATTTTGGCTTCTCAAGCATAATAATTACATGTAAAGGAAGGGGTTTGCAGTGGTTACAAGCATTTGACACTCATGTTGTTTTCCATTTAAAAAGGCTGTTCCAGTTGTCCTTTTCATTCCCTTACTCCTATGTTCTCTGCTGTTTGGAAGACATGGTCTCAGAGTACCAGCAGCTCCTGCTGTCACAGTGTTAGTTTAATCAGGCCTTAGAGGAGCGCAGATCATCAGCCAAGCTCTCCTTGTGAATGAACTTAGTTCTGTCATGGAGGCTTTTTTTGCAGGGGGAGTCCAATAGAGTTCTTTTTTTTCCAACAAAAGCCATTTTGTTCAATTCAAACCTTTGTTCAAAAATTATTGTAAAATGCAGCTGTCAAGTGCATTTCTGTTTGGGTTGCAGGCCTACCAACAAATGGTCCCCATATAGCTCATCTCTAGGATTTCACTGTAGTCAGTGGAGAGGAAGAGAGAAAAGCTTCCCCTGAAGAACGGTTAGCTCAGAACCCTTTTCTAGGTAATCTCAAATGCCCCGTGCAGCGAGGAGAGAACAAGGGGAAATCAATCTCATTGAGCTAAAGTTTTGTTGTTTTGCGTTTCTTTATTAGTCTGTGTCCCTGAATTTCTTCTTCTCCCCCAAAGCCTGCAATGTTTGAGAGTGATATGCAAGTCTGTATTTGCCATATTTCTCTGTAATGTACTCTGGTTGATCTTTTTTTCACTGTTTCTCTCTTGTATGCTAACTATTGTATTTATGGTCATAACACGACATACCTGAAAGAAATGAGGTAGTTCCCAAAAGTTCAGTAAGTTTTATTGTGTGCTTGACTTCTTTTGGAAAATAAAATCTTGCATTATATGAGCAGGCTTCAGCTAACGATGATACAGTTTGCAGGTAACAGTGACATTCTTATCTGCCAAAGTTTATATTTTTAATATTTGGGATTTCTTTTTCTTTTTTCTTTTTTTTTTTTTTTTTTAGTATTTCTAAAACATTTAATTCTACCTTGCCTTTCAATAGCTATGGCTGGCCTTAGCATCCCTCTGTGTACTTGATCAGGATCATGTTGATAGACTATCTTCAGGGAGATGGATGGGAAAGGATGGACAGCAGAAGCAGATGGTGAGACTGAAAACCCTGTCTTTTTATATTTATTTTGATTTATTCAGTAGTCAAATAATTTAGAATAAAGATAGGGAAAGGTAGACTTGGCCTAACCTTATTCCACCCTTTTTGTCCTCAATGGAGATCATACATACGTGTTTGAAGTATTTGTGCTCTAGACAAACGCTGCTCAGAAAACAGAAATTGCAACTTAAAGCAATAAGGTAGCAATACTACTGGTATGGAGCAAGGCCTTCCTAACACCTGTAGGATGAATTTTTGAGAGTAGATTGACTCAGTTAATACAACACCCTCTGTCAGAGCTTTTTTCTTTCTACCTGGATCTCTGTCACATAATGAAGTCGGGTTTTTTTGTGTTCCTCACTAACTTCTCCATAACTTCTCTTCCTCTTCCCATCTCAGTAGAGAGTGATTACCACAAAGAGAAAGAAGCTCTAACTGAATTTAGCAAAGCTACCGTTTACCCAGAGGATTTACAAATTCAATATGGAATATGATGGATTGAGTTTCTGTCTATATTTTTCAGTATCACAAAAAGCTTATGATTATTTAAATTCAAATCTGGAAGAACAAAATAATGGAGCTGATCTCTATAATTTGGTTAGGTGGGTCCCTGTGGGAGGCAATGGAACGTTGTGCCTTCCCAGTAACAACTAAGGATGCTTAGCGCAAAGAAGCCTCCAAAGCAGTTTCATGTAGGCAGAAAGAGAATACAGGAGAGACAGAGCTGCAGCAGCGGCAAGGACTAAAAACTACTAAGAGAAGGAAGCAGACACAAAGGTTTCTGAGGCAATTAAGAAGGTCAAGGGACTTCTGTAGAGCTTTGGAAATGTCAGAACAGTAGCAAAGACATCATCATTTTTTGCTGAACCCAGCCTGAAATTCCCCAATCCTATTTTATAACAGGATATTCAAATTTTGAGGTGAACTGTGAGTCCCCTTACCAGGACTGCTGTTGAAAGGATTCTGTTCTAAGTTGCACAAGTAATACCATGGAAACCTTGTGTCCTCAGAGTATGATGGAAACTTGTTCTCAAACATATGCATAATCAAAGTCAGGCATTGAACTCTATTTGTAGAGATACTTTGAGCTGCAAAACAGAACTGAATTGAATTTTAATTTTTTTTTTTTATCAGTAGAGCAACTTAATTTTATGGTGGATTTTGAAGTTTGTTATTTCATCTGTATTCTCTCTAAGTTATAGATGACCTACAACTTTGATTAGATGTTTGAGCAGAGTAAACATACCATATCAAAGTAATTAAGGGTAAATATTGTTCTTGTTGACTGACCCAGTCTCTGAACTTTTCTGTTAACATCCCCACAACCCACTGTTACCACGTAAATCTTTTCTCAGACTAGTTGAAAATGATGTCTCAACTATAGTGTTGAAAAACACATTTTTGCTACATCTAAATATAAGATGAAGAGTATCAGAAGAAATTACATAGTAAATTGGGGATTTTTGTGTCCAGGAGTAATTGTTTAGACACTGAGTATTCTAAAGATATAATTAATAGCCTAAAAAAACTCTTTATCCCCCTTATTAATTTGAGGGGTATGGCGAGGGAGAAGAAAAACAGATGCTGAAAAGAAATGAGGGATTTAATAAAGAAAGAATTATTTCATATTTTTTCTTATTTTTTTCAGCCAATGTGTGATAACCATGATGATGGTGAAACTGCTGCAATCATTTTATGTAATGTCTGTGGGAATTTGTGTACAGATTGTGACCGATTCCTTCACCTCCATCGGCGAACAAAAACTCATCAGAGACAGGTAGGGTATACACGACATGTTGTATGCACTGCATTTCCCCAATTAATATATAAGAAAAAGGCAGTAGCAAGGACCAAGTCTTCTTTTATGTTTGAGATGGGATCGGTAAGTTTCCATTTAATTCTTTTTAGTTGTTTTTAGTTAAATTCTCTTGTCCTTTATCTTTTGAAGAAGATTGGAAAATCATGTAGCAGTCCCTAATTCTAACTCATGCTGCATCAGCTTTCTTCTCTCTTGTTTATAACATTGTTTAGGAATATTTTTTTAAGGAAAATCTAGGAACTGTATAGACTTCCTTAAGCATATGTTGGTTCTTTATTCCTGTTAAATTGTATCTCCTTTACTACTTCTATCATATAAGTCAGTGCTTGTCAACCCCTTCATTTTTAACGTATATACATTTCTAATAACCAGGAAGACCGCCTGACATTCCTGCTGGTTTCCTTATGTCAGTCTTCTCTTACTTTTCAGTATTCCTCCAGCTCTCACTGTCTTCACAGAGAAGTATGATGTCATATCCATAAGCTTGAAAATGTCCTCATTTCTTTTGGTTTTGTTTTTAGGATTGAAACGTCTTTCCTCTTTGACTTACCTAGATGAGTTTTTACAAATTGCTTTTTACTCTGCTAATTAGTGGGTTTTGCATTATTCTCTTATCCTCTTCATCTCTAAACTTGAAATTACATTCTCCTTGGAATATTTCTTTTTCTCATTGAAATTAATGTTGACGATGCCTTTAATTCTGAAACTACTGAACATTTCCTCTTTCTTGACACTATTATTCTTTTGTGGGGTTTATGGTCCTTTATTTTCCGCTTTCCCTCTGACTGCTTATGTTTGTAAAAAAGTTAAAACAATAAACCTCATTAACAAAGTTAATTCAATGGAAATCATTCCTCTTCTCCCTCTCCTAGAGCGCATCTACATGCGCTTTGTTGTTAGGATCAAGAATGGGCTTTTGAAGCCGATCTCCTTATCTGCTTACTGTGCTTTGATTTGTGCGTTAGAGCAGCCTTGGAGTGCATGAACTGGGTTCCTTTCAGGTGAAACTAAAAACAACAAAAAAAGATAGCTGCAGGGACACACAGCTAATGGTCGTTCAGCGCAAGAGATCAGCTAGTCTAGAGCACAAGTGATGTGAACTTCGGATCATTGGCACTGAGTTTCACTCTACGGATCTCCTTGGTGCTTCAGCATTTGCAGCATCGATTCAGCCTGGAAGTTCCCACGTGGATCTGTTCTCTTCTAATTCTTAGCCAGAATCCTTACAAACCTCTTTGAAATGTTCCTGTTTTGTCATCCTAAGTTGATGATTTTTTATGTCTACTCTTCTGTCATGGCATAGCACAGTCTAGTCTCATTTATTTTTCTGATTTCTCCTATATAGCCTGTTCAGATTACAGTTGATAAAAAGTAAGTTCTTATCTCATAGAAGTCCTCACATCTCTCCTTTAATCTGTCCAAAATAGCTACTTACCAGATTTTCCTATTTACTTCTGAAAGCATGTTTAAACTTTTACTCTTTATTCACCACCTTTACCTTTACATCTCTCGTGTTAATCCCCTCAATTTAAATTTTTAAATTTTGTCGTATTCCCTGTCTCCCATTTTCTGTTAGCTTCCTGGGTTTTGTCCAACTTCTGTCATACATACCTCTTCAATGTATTTTATCTCCCTCCAAGAAAGGACAGCCTGTAACTTATTACGACCTGCTTATGCAAATCCTTTGTGAAGTAATTAGGGTTTTTTTCCCTGATCCTGATACGAATTAAAACAAAGTTTAAATTGAGTGTGTACTTCCATATCCAGGAAAGTTCTAACCTTTATTGAATTGCAGGTGAAATGAATGAAAACAGAACTGCCTTCAAAACTTAGGAAGGGAGAAAAAGAAGAGACTGTATAAACTCCACTAAGGATCTCCTGCAGTTTTTTTGATTTCGCAAAAATTTTACATTTTCCTCATTGTCACAAAAAGTATCCACTGTGTATTTGTGTGAAAGTCAAAAGTATTAATGTGACACACTTATATAATTGTTATTAAATAGTACATTATTATTATTAAGACCCTAACTATCAATGTTGCTTTGATAAACTACTAGCATGGTTATGTGAAGATAATTCTAATGTTATCTTGTGCTTTTAACATACTGTGGCTTACTGGATGAGTTGAATAGTAGTTATGAAGTTCAAGCTCCGTAAATTAGAAAAAATGTTGTGCAGCTCCCTTCTTAGCATTGCTGCGCTATTGTTTCCAAGCCCTGTTAGCTCAAACATTGAATTTATGTATTTTTACTTTTAAAAACACAAAGCCTTTTATCTATCTGTTCCGCAATATGTACAAATTATAAAATGCATAAAAGAAAAATAGCTTGCAGTACACAAACTCTGCAGAATCTGTAACTGATGAAAATCCAAAGACACAGTGACAAAACTAACATGGAAATGCTATTTTATTATCTGTTTGGTCAACCTGACAGGTATTCAAAGAAGAAGAAGAAGCTATCAAAGTTGATCTCCACGAGGGTTGTGGTAGGACCAAACTTTTCTGGCTGATGGCATTAGCAGATTCTAAAACAATGAAGGCTATGGTGGAGTTTAGAGAACAGACAGGTAAAACACAACTGTTATTACTTGCTTTTTATCCTGATTATTTTTACCTTTTATGTGAGCATTTGTCCAAAAAAAACCCCAAACAGTTGGGGTTTTCGCCTGCTCTAGGGCAATGCTTTTAATTGTTTGTTAATAAAAATAAAATAGTTCAACTGCATAAGAATTGTTGTTTAGATTTCTGTTGTTAGAATGTCAGTCCCTTATGTTTCATTACAACAATTTTCGGTTGTGTTTACTCTTGCGGACCTAGGCAAACCGACCACCAGCAGTTCTGAAGCATGTCGTTTCTGTGGATGTAGGAGTGGAACAGAATTATCAGCAGTGGGAAGCGTTTGTTCTGATACAGATTGCCAGGTGTGTATTAACAAATATCAGTCATCATTAATTAAACAGAAGAGACCGCAGAATCAAATTGATTCCTTGTTTTGAGTAAACCTTGTTCATCCCTGTGGTCCAGTTTAAATCGGACTTCTCATATAATATTGAATATTATATTGTAGTTCAAATACTTTGGAGTTTGTAAATGTTTAGTTTAGTTGCAGGCTACAAACACCAAGTCACCCAAAATACTGGGTAGTTTCATTATCATCTTCAAAAGTATCTCAAGTTTTTACAGTAGTGTTCCAAGTATAAAGTAATATATACACTCTCCACATAAAGTCTAGTATACTGGAAAGCTTGGTAAAAGCAGTTTGTGTAACAGCCTGTTTATTATGTGAGCACAGAACATTTAAGACTTGGCCAGGTTTGTCAACTGTATCCATGTGTCCTGAGTGGTTATGTGCCTCACAGTACAGGTACCACTGGCAGAGAGTCAAATCCTCACCAGTTTCTTATCCCACCCTATTTATTTCTGTTTACATGTGGCAAATTTGTCTTCTTTTTTTCCTCTCTCTGCCTGTTGAATATATTTTATTATTGTTATGTTAATTGAGTTCAATTGGTTATTAGCTTCTGGGCAACTTGTTTTCTGCTTACTAGGGGTAGGAATTGGAGGTGGTTAAAATACCATTTCTATATAAAAGTGCTTTATGCTAGTTAATGATCAGCTCTTAATGCGTTCTTAAGAGTAGGTTACTTCATACCTTTCCTGAAGGACCTAAATCTGCAGACATCTTAAAGGCTGTTAATACAGGGCAAGCAATGTTTATGCAGGAGGCAGTTAATACACAAAAAACACGTGGAGGATTAAAGAATATTTCTCTTCATATTAAAATTAAAAGTCAAAATTTAGAAATTACTGCTTCATTATAACATAAGTAAATTAAGGTACCAGTTTTACTTCAAGTACACAAAATGTGCAATTTTTCCCAAGTACCTGCTGTAGCAGTAGACAACATGAACCATGATTCTTTCGCCTTAGTTTATTGCACAAACCAGGAGTCTTTCAAAAAGTGGCGCTATATCAAACCATTCAGTGGAGGGGAAAAAAGATCAATTATTTACTTTTCATAGGAGTATGCTAAAATTGCCTGCAGCAAGACCCATCCCTGTGGCCATCCGTGTGGAGGCGTTAAGAACGAAGAGCACTGTTTGCCATGCTTGCATGGCTGTGATAAGAACGCTACAACTCTTAAACAAGATGCTGATGACATGTGCATGATCTGCTTTACTGAAGCACTTTCAGCAGCACCAGCTATCCAGGTTTATCTTTTTTTTTTTCCCCCTTTTAAGAGATTAATATTATGGTTGTAATGTTAAGTGTGGAAGAACTTAAAATATAAAGTCCCTCAAATTATACTCTTAAAAATTTCAAAACAGACACTGTAACAATACGTAAGTTACTTAAGAAGCTTTCTTTTGGTCTGGAATTAATGCTATTTCAAGAAAGCAGATTGCATCAGTTTAGTTTCCTGTGTTTACATTATTTAAAATATATGGCACTTTATAAATGAGACAACTGAGGTAATGGATATATTTTGTACATCTACTGGTGGTTTTGGAGTAGAACGGTTATGATTTTAATGAACATTTTATATTCTTTCTTTTTCTTAAGAAGAAAATAGAGGTTCTTCTAGGATTTTAAATAAATTAATTTTGAAATTGATATACGTTGCCACTTAAAAGCAAATAACTACTTTTTTAGTGGTTAATGTACCTTCAGTGCTCACTTACCTGTATTCTTTTCTAAAGCTGGACTGCAGCCACGTTTTCCATTTGCAATGCTGTCAACGAGTACTAGAAAACAGATGGCTTGGGCCAAGGATAACTTTTGGGTTTATGTCCTGTCCTATTTGCAAGGTAGGTGAGCTATGTGTTTACTGCCTAGGTCAAACAAGTGACCTAATACTGTATTTGGTTTTCGTTTGTTTTTTTTTTTAATGGTATAAATTAGTTAGATGTCACTTATTTCCTTCATTTCTCGTGTCACTAAAGAAAGGGTATCATTGATGCGTCTTTTTACCTTCCCTAGAGTTCCCTGAAGTAAGGGTCCTCTTAAAAAGGAAGCATAATGCAGTCATTATGTTAATACTGTTTTACTTTTAGCAACATCAGCTTGTAGATTCCCAATATTTGGGGCCGGTGGTGGGGAAGAAGTAATCTTAATGCACATTATCTGAAGCAGGAAACTTGGCTTCTCTTTTACTAACCCCTTTTAAAGCTGCTTTGCTTTTCAGTGTGACGACAGAGCTGAATAATATATGTACTTAGTTCAGCTTAAATTACTAAAAATTCCTCTTGTACTCTACAAAATCATAATTGCTGTAAGCAAAAGCATATGGTAGCTGCTGGAAAGGAGAGCACCTTAACCCCCTAAGGAATATGAACTTTGTGAATGGTCAGCCATTTCTGCATGCTGTCTTTCTTCCTTCATGCTGTCTTTTGGTAATTTATGGCAATAGCATGTGTCCATTAAATGATAAAGACCCGGCATAGAGGACTATCAGTCATCATTCTTAATTGCTGAGCAGTAAGCCCAAAAGGACCAAAATTAGAAAAAACATACGGTTGGAATATTCCTGTGCTGTGGTCAATAGGTCATGTACCCTTTACTATCCCTCTGTGGTTGTTACAGTCTGTTGTGAGGGCTGATGATTTCATATCACAGAAGGCTATATGAAGAGCATTCCTGGTTACTATTTTTGCAGCAAATAAAGTATATCAGCCATTTTTTGAAATTTCCATTGCCTGAGCCCTTAGGTTTTTATGACATCCATTACGCTATTTGTGTTCGACCGTAATACAAATTATCACAGCTGTGGTAATAAAGGTGCAAGATATTTTAATCAGTTTTTTATTTCAGAACAAAATCAATCATACAGTATTAAAGGATTTGCTTGATCCAATCAAAGAACTCTATGAAGATGTAAGGAGAAAAGCGCTAATGAGATTGGAGTATGAAGGGTTGCACAAGAGTGAGGCCATCACAACACCAGGTGTTAGATTTTATAATGACCCAGCTGGCTATGCTATGAACAGATACGCTTATTATGTTTGCTACAAGTGCAAAAAGGTATGACAATTAGTACTTTCTCAAATTAAATGTATGTTACAGTTTCAAAAGTGATTTCTTAAAGAATGGAACATATATTTAGTACATTGTGTATGGAGTAGGAAAGCAGGAAAAGAAATTACATCATTAAGTTGCAATTAAAAAGTGTTGAGCAAGTTAGATGTACATAGTGTCGTATCTCATAAAGCTCAAATGTGTATACAGAGCAATTCAGAAACCAAAGGCATACTGAGCTGCTCGCTGCCTTAGAAGAATGTGCAGAGGACACCGTGTTATAACACCAACCATCCCTTTGTCCCACTTCCAACTCAAACTTTATGTCAACATTAAAATACTATAACCATAAGTTTCATTCTGACTCTTTGATACGGAGAGTTCCCCACTAAGATTCCGCCTAAATACTTTTACCCAAGTTGGAGTTGGTTGGAACTGCAGTAAACAGTGCACTTGGGGCAGAAAAATAACCACTACTGCAAGCCAACCCATGGTTGTGGTGCTCCTCAGTGATAGTCTCAAAAGGTGGGAAGAGTCTTCTTTAATTTTGATTCATGATAGTGCAGTCGTTCAGGATCAGGGGATAAGGAAACTCTGCCATCCTTAACCGAGTACACCTAAGTTCAGATCTTAGCTTCTTGAGCTCCTTTGAAGTGCAGCAGTGATGGAGAGGATGGACAGAAGCATTAAAAGAATGAAAAAGGACTAGAAAGAGGAAATGTGTGGTCTAACCTGATGGACTCTGGATCATATATGTACAGTTTTCTTCAGACAAAGAATATGAAATCTAACTAGAAGACAAAAATCATAACATCTTTCCTTCCTCCAGCCCCTGTTCACCCCAAACTACTACCCAATTCCCAGACATACATTCCATGGGACTCTCCCTTTTCTTTACTCTGCGGAGTCTGGAGGAAGGTGGGCTTCTTTAAATTTTCCCTTCCTCCCTGTCCTTCTACAATTGCCGCAAAAAAGCAAGAATTGCCGAGAGCGAGAATTTTGTGCGTTATCCAATTAGTTAATAAGATGGTAACAAAGGAAGGAAGGAAGTTACTCATTGCCTCATCATCTCGCCACTCCATCTAGTGAAATCTAGTATATGAGGAAATTCATCAGAGTTACCTGTCTTGGTGCATTTTTGTGCCCAGTGTGTCCTGGTAAAATAAGATGAGAAAGTAGAATGAATTTGTAGAAAATAGCAACATTTTAATTATAAGGGATCTCACATGAACTTAAAAACCAATACACCTTTCGCCTAGTAAAAAGCCCTCCTGGTAGAATGCTTCTCTGCTGCCTTCAGCCTCAGTCCTGTCTTTCTTACAAACAGTTCATAGAGCATCCAAATGCTGTTTCAAAAACCTTACGGTCGCTTGCATAGACCAGAGTACATTGTGCAATTTTGGGTCTTGTTTATCCCGAGATTGAGAAACATTGTCTTAGTGCCTCAAACTCATGTATCTAGAGTCAGAGTCAAGAGAGATCAGAATAGTGGAGACTACTCTAATGGCTGTTACTCATAATTTTCCTCTTACAAATTGATTTTGTTAAAATACGAGTTGTCTCTGGTTTCATGTCCAATCATTTCTATATAAAATTAAGGCATATTTTGGTGGTGAAGCTCGTTGTGATGCTGAGGCTGGACAAGGAGATGACTATGATCCGAGAGAGCTTATTTGTGGCGCATGCTCCGATGTTTCAAGGGCTCAGGTAAGCAAAGAACTTGTATTTGTGTTTTTATTTCATTCTGAACTCCGAGTACCTGAGCTGTACGATAGTTCACAGTCATTTGTAATTATATATGTTTTATAATGTCGTATAATATTAATGTATACTACAGAATGTAGAAATGTGGGGGTTCGATTGTTACAGCATGGCTACTTCATTTATTGGCATTTGTTTTCTTCCTGTTTAGATGTGTCCCAAACACGGTACAGATTTCTTAGAGTACAAATGCCGCTACTGCTGTTCAGTTGCTGTATTTTTCTGTTTTGGGACAACGCATTTTTGCAATGCTTGCCATGATGATTTCCAAAGAATGACAAGCATCCCTAAAGAAGAACTCCCACACTGTCCTGCAGGTAGTACTCTTACAAAGCAAATTTAGCTACACTGAATTCTGTGATAAGTAATTAGTTCTACTTGATATTTGTATCTTTTCTTGTGGATCATTTTTAGGAAAGCCACAGGGTCAGTCATACAAATTTTAAATTCAGTATCTTGAATGATATTAGAATGGGTTTGTTCTAGGTGTGATGTTGATTTTTTCGTTTTTCTGGCAATAATACAGGCACCAATCACACTGATCCTTTAAACATTAGATCCTTCGATACAGAAAGACATTTCAATTTACCTACACCAATTGAGACTCCAGATCTGTAATGATCTGTTAAAATTATACTGTAAAAAATTCACACACTACTATTAAATGATGTAGCTGTACTCAGGTACCTGTCATGTACAAACTGTTGCCCAGTGCCTTAGTTTCCAACGTCATGTGCCATTGATTTGGTCTCAATAAATCATATTATTTACCTTGCTGTTGAAAAAAAAGTGAGATCTTTTTGATTAAGATATTTACATGAAAGAAGTAAACAAAAAAAATACAATTCTTGGTATAACCTTAGAATTATTGTTTACTGCAGACTGTAACTCTTGATAATATTTATTGATTTGCTTTTAGATTGTGCTGATTTCTTCCACAGTATTAATGAGATTAAACTTACTTTAGTGATTCTCCCTATAAGCTTTTTGCTTTTTTTCACTTTGAGTTTTATTTATTTTAAATTACATGCAGTTTGACCATTTGGGGTTTTTTCTTCAAATACCAATTCAACGTTTGACATAACTGTTTTAATGAGCTAACAATTTCTGATTGTTTTGTCAGATCTAACTGACATTTTTTCTCTTGGCTTATTAAGCCTTTTGACTTCTTGCTTGAATTTGACTGTGTGAAAGCATCTTTCTATCTGCTGTTTCTTAAGTCTTCATTTTTGATGACTTATCAATTCATATTATAGAAGTATTACCTTCACTTAGCATGTTTTTGAGAAAATGTAATATATGTTCGTTTACATCATCTGCAAGCGTTCATCTCCTTTTGTTTTCTTCCCCCCCCCTTACCCTGTAGGTCCCAAAGGTAAACAACTTGAAGGAACAGAATGTCCACTTCACGTTGTCCATCCACCCACTGGTGAAGAATTTGCTCTGGGTTGTGGGGTTTGCAGAAATGCTCACACTTTTTAGACTAGCGGGGTTTTTTTACCAGAGCAAAACAGGTGCCCTCATCCCTCAAGTGTCCTGAAGATAAAGTCCAGCTGGGATGAGGACGGGACCATTTCATAACCCAGGTAAAAGGAACAATTTACAGTGCAAGAAGGATGCCAAATATCATGTACATAACTCTTGCTGTGAGATATTGACATTTTTTGAACTGAGACATCAAAACTTGTGAGGTGTTTGCATGTGGCCATTACAGTCATCGGCTAGGAAACATTGGACATTTACAAATAAATAATTGCTATTAAAGGATCTGTGTGTCTGTGGACTATGAATGATGCTGGCTTTCAGGAGAAAGAAAAAAATATTGATTATTGTATACTGACTTTTTGTAATCTTGTACAATTGTAACGCATCACAAGTGGGGATGGGAAAGAGGAATATTCTGGTTTATTTCCTAGACTGTTATAAAAAAAATTGTGTTAGGAAGGCATAAATGTAACAAGTATCACGCTGTATATAAAAGTATCAATGTTTGTCCTGTATAAGAATTATTAAATTACAACAGCAGTTTCATTTAAACTTCTGGGTTATGTTTGAGCCTGAAATTTTAATGAAGTGCAATACTGAGTGTGCCTCATATCTTGCAGCTGTAAACATAATGGAATGTACATGTCAATAAAGCCACTGTACATTTTTATACAGTGAAAGTCTAATGAATGCGTAAGCCTCCATTTTCAGAAATGCTTTTTAAAATGGGAGGGGTGTCGTTATAATTATTTCAGCAAGTTCTTCTGAAAAAGTAAGAAAGTTTATTGGCCAAACTGGTGGTTGTGGAAATACTTAAGACATGAAAAATGCGGTTCAAATCTTCTTTTAAAGCTGGATAAATGTACTAGCATTCATATGAAGCATTGTATTTCCACTTGAGCTTCTGACAATGTTTTAAAACACAACAGAAGAGTTCATTTTAAATTATTTTAATCAGTTATTAAGAACCTTCACCCCCACCTTTAGGACAAATAGTCTTTTGCTGTGAATCCCATTTAACAGGGGTCCAAGCCCTCTGCTCTAGGCTAACCTGCTTGAGCAGGGGAGTTGGACTAGATGGTCTCCAGAGGTCCCTTCCAACTCCTACCATTCTGTGATTCTGTGCTCCTCTACAGTGAAAGCAAAATATAACTTCAGGTAAGGACTTTTTCCTATAAGGTTCGCTTCAGATTTTGATGGTCCTTATGGGTCCCTTCCAACTCAAGATACTTTATGATTCTATGATAACTTCTTTTCTAATATATCTGTCTTGAAGTTGATGGAACATGCTTTACTGGTGGACATGAACTGCTTCTCTCACTGTTAAGATACTGATAGGTGGCATCCAGATGTCAGAGGACCTTTATCAGCCAGGAACCATGGGATCCAGCTCACCTAACTTTGGACATCTGTAATGTCTGTGTCTGCCTGGACTTCAGAATAGCTGGGGGAAAATACACACCTCTGAAGTACAATTTATCTTACTCACAGTAGCACTGGGGGGCAGTCTCAGGTACATGAATATTAGTGCAAGAACTATCAGTAAATAGAAGCTGGAAGTTTTAAGTCTGCAATCGAATGTGTTCAATAATAATACAAACAATAATATTATAATATTTAATATTATTGGTATAACAGATGTTTAATGAAAGAATTCATGTGACCCTCACTGACATAATGGAGAGGGTACAGTGTGCTCAGTAATGACCAAGGGTGGGAGAGGCTGCAGGCATCACGACAAAGGTTGTCAAATGTAGGGCTTGCGCTAGACTTGCAAAGAAATATGCCACAACAACTAACAGGCATCCAAACAACTGCACTTGTGACAGTGAGGAATTTTAACTAGTGGGTATCTGTTTGGAAAGATATGGATTAGGAGATAGGCTATCTGGTATGTTCTTGGAATATATTTGAAATAAATACAGTACATGAAGTAGAGAAAGCAACTAAAAGGCGACTTTACTAGATTTGATCATGACTGAAAGGCAGTTTAGATGGAAATAACTATGAAGGGACAACGTTCATGATTCTGAAAGGAAAGGAGAGGGAAAACAAGATAAATTATATTCAGTAAATTGACAGAAGTCAATTGGGAATCAAGTGTAAAGAAAAACAATATTTAGAGGAATTGGTGTTTTCTTTAGAACAACCAACTACATTGAGATCACAGCCAGCAGCTATCCTAGTGCAAACAGAGGATAGAACCCGTATTAAGCAGTCGGCTTGGCCAAGTCAGGAATTAGATATTAAAAAAAAAGGAAACAAAATCAAATTACTACAGATGAGTATAGGAGGTGGGGAAAAGGTACAAGATAAAACTTCATTTGCAATGGACATAAAGAATAGCAAGTAGGCAAGAGAAAGATTGGTCCTGTATCTGCAGTGATGAAGCCCTTTCCACAAAAAAAATCACCTACAATTTCAAATCATGTTAAACCCTCTCTTTGAATGTCAGGATGAGCCAATGTGGTGTTTTTATTCAGCATCTTGAAGAGTCAAGATTCTTCCTACATTGTACTTCACTGACAGAAACAGAGAGTATGACTCACTTGTCCAAACAGATGTTTACCTCAGACGTAATCATCTGCTGTGGGGAGGGGCAGACATTTCTGGGATGCAGTTCATTTCATCTGGACATAAAACACAAGCCACCTGAATAGCTCAGGCGTAGATGACTACACTGTGCATTTTTAAAGTTGCGTCACCACAACCTACTCTGCAGTCTGAAGCAGAAGCAATGTTTTCGGCCCGTGACACCACAACCTTCAGCACCAAGGGATTTTTTTTTTTTTTTTTTGAGAGGGTGTCAAGGTATGAAGAATGAAAGGTCGAAGTTTGAAGTGTTCTTCCATGTTCTTGGCTCTGTGTTCCCTGGTTAATGTTTGTTGGGTTTTTTTTTTCATAAACAGATCACCAGCTTTTCCTCTGGCGTAGCACTCTGCACATTGTGGTGGGTGAAGGGTAGACATTGTGGCCTGAGGTTTGACAGTTCATGTTTTGATGTTGCCAGGTACTTCCTGGAGATGTACTATGGACCTTAAAAAGACTAATGTCTTTATTTGAAAATGTAAGTTCCTTACAAAACTCAACAATTCTGTATCTGTGATATTCTATATCTGTATATTCTATACAACCTGTGAACTCCAACTGGACACACCCTGAGTCACTTCAGAATGGCAGATGTAGAGTAAAAGATGCAGAATGATGTTCTAAGGATTCCTCTGCTTCTCATACAAGAAATGTGCTGTAGGGTTACCAGAACTAATACACCTATCAGCTGGGAGATACTGCAGTAAATTTGCATTATACTGGTGGTATGAGAGTGGTTAGAGTACAACAGCATGTACACAGGACAGAAGGTGGAAGAAAGCAGAGCCCAGTGGATGTATTAAGGATCTCCCTGTGATGCTATTGATACATCTCTCCTTCACAACCCAGCCACCTCCTCGGTCCCTACTTCTCATCTACACTCAAAGTCTCACATCACTGCCCCACCACTCTTTACCAGGACTCTTGGGTGCTGTTTTCTGTCCTAATCCACCACTGAGAAGCCCTTTTTCTCCTTTCATTCTTTTCTGGCTACTGTTTCTCCATTTTAGAAGCCTCTTACTGCACCCCAGTGTGCAGGAGCAGAGCTGCCCTGTAGAGGGGCAGTGCCCAAGCCAGGCTGGGCACTGCTTCTCTTCCTTGCTCACCGCAAACAGCCAAGGAGACACACAGCAGAACCTGGTGCTGCCAAATCCAGTGTGCAGTAGATGCTGCACCACTTTAAAGCCAAACTAGGATGTTAAAAAAGAGATTTTTTTTTTCCTGTACCCAAAGAGGAACCTTATTTTAAGTGTTTATAATGCACATATGAACTAGTACGTAAAAGGTATACCTGCATTTACACCAGGGATTGCAGCACTTCCACATTCCCAGGTCACAGATTAGATGTCTGTAATAAAAAATTAATTCAAACGGCATTCGGTTTAGAAAAGTCATCTTTCTAATTGTAAACAGGCTTGATGAGGAATCATTAAAAGCAAACATAAAAAGAAAACTTTTGCCCAAAAAGGGTACTGAAGAGTATTGAAGTAGTCACCGAGGTGGAGGGCTCCGGAGGGGAGGATCGCGCCGGGGGACCCTTCCTGAAG